GTTCATACAAACCGAAATATTTTGAGTCTGGTTTTTTCATTCTGCTTCTTTCAAATAGATTTCCGCACTTAAGAAATATATGTTATGATAGATATATGTGGATAAATCGACCATAACTACTACAAATCATATTACCGCCAAACTTTCGGTAGAATTTATAGAATATTGTAAAAATTATGGTCTATTACCAACATATATATATATATATATATATATATATATATATATAATATATATATATATATATATACACAATATTCTATAAATTCTACTGAATGTTTGGCGGTAATATGATGTTTGTAGTTATGGTCTATTATCAACATATATCTATCATACATATCATTTCTTAAGTGCGGAAATCTATTTGAAAGAAGCAGAATGAAAAAACAAGACTCAAAATATTTCGGTTTGTATGAACTATTACAATTAATTTTTCTGATTTATTAAAAATGTTTCTTCTTAAATTAATTTATAATTATTTTATAATTTTAATAATTTTTATAATTTTATTATTATTACTAAATAATAGTATTAAACTGATTTTAACAATCAAATAAACTTAATTTCAACAAATAAATAAAATAACTTTATTTTTTCCATGAATGCAGATGTAAGCGGCCTTTCATTCAAGTCAATGGGCGTGAAATCAAATGTTAGCAATGATACAATTTTTATTGTTCATTCCCTTGAATTTCATTTACCTAGTAAAACAACGGCAATACACACACACACACAAACACACATACATTCACACACACACATCACACACACACACACAAAAACACTACACACCACAAACACAACAGACACACACACACCTAACCACCACAAATACTCCAAGTAGACACACCGCACATCTTCATTATCATCATTCTAACATTACAATCATCATCACTGCTGTTGCTCCAACGTCATATTCATCATCATTACCATTATCGTCGTTCCACTCACTACCATCATTGTCATTATCATTACTATTTTGCTCGTCACCACCATCATCATCATCACCACCACCATCATCATCACCACCACCATCATCACCACCACCATCATCACCACCACCATCATCACCACCACCATCATCATCACCATCATCATCATCACCACCACCATCATCATCACCACCATCATCATCACCACCACCATCATCATCACCACCACCATCATCATCATCGTCGTCGTCGCGAACACAGTATCATGATCAACTTTAATCTTAATTTTAATCTTGAAGTTCAGTTAATAACTTTCATACCAAATAACAATATTTATTGATTGATTAGCTAATTAATTAATCAATTAATTATTTTTTTTGTTTTGTTTGTTAATTAATTAATTAGTTTACTTATATTTTGCTATCTTCCTCAACGTATGCAGGCAAACAAAAACAATGACGTCATTAGATCGGGGTGCGTTCGATGGTTAAATTGTTTTAAAAATGTTCATCGCTTCATTTATTTTCATTTCATGTCGGTTCGTCACGTCAACTTTTAGTTTATTTTTGACAAAAAACTGAGTTTCATTGAATTCTTATGAAAGTAGGATCGATTCTCACCAAATCTCTCTTCTAACTTTGACCTCCCTTCTTTGACCTCCCTTCTTTGACCTTCCTACTTTGACCTTCAGGTCATCATTGATAACGGTCCACGTGAACGATGAGTCGAGGAATTGTAAGAATTAATTTTCATTTTTATCTTTGCCTTAAATATATTTTCAATAGTTTACAAATTTTAATTAAGATTAAATTAGAAAAAATTACATTTTATTTAATTAACCGTTGGTATAGACTTGATAGATCAAATTGAATTTAATTAAAATGAATTAAGGGTTAATAATTTGAATGAAAATTTTTGCGAAATAAAAGTTTTTACCCCTTAAAACCGCATTCGCCTTTCTAGCCCACAAGGATTTTACTTGCCCGCGCGAGTTACTTTTGAAAGAAATGAAATACTTCCAATCGTATCTCTCTAATGTAGGTCAGCAATCTGATGACGTAGAGATATCGGTACACTGCGACCTAGATATTTTTGATTGGCTGATTAAGTACGTAAAGAGGTCACACGATGAATATTCAAATTGGACCCCTAAATTAGGTGATTATGGTGAAAGATGATTGAATCATTTTATATTCACGTTTTGGTATTGTGGTTATTATTCAAGTTTGTTTTTCACGTAAATGCATAACATTAGAAAACGTCATCAACATATTATGACGTCATTAACTCTTAATAATAACTGACCCATCGCTTTAGACGCATCTAATTGGCTGTCCATTCTCGTCTCGTCCATTTTCTTACAAATGGACAGTTTGGTTGGTACGCAGTTTTTTGAATGAATGAACGAACGAACGAACGAACGAATGAATGAATGAATGAATGAATGAATGAATGGATGGATGGATGGATGGATGGATGGATGGATGGATGAATAAATGAATGAACGAACGAACGAACGAATGAATGAATGAATGAATGAATGAATGAATGAATGAATGAATGAATGA